AGGCTAGTCACATCCTGAAAAGTGTCCAATTTAATAATCTGCCGATTTGCACAAGCCTAAGAGGCAAAAATCATCATAAACTTTATAGTCGATTTTTTTTTACCACACCTTAATCTGACGGTTTCAAGTATTTCTACCTTATCAAAACATTTTTTAAATATTTTAATCGGCTTCCCTAGACGCGCCCCTTTATATAGAAGACTTATATTATGGTGAAAGTACTCAATAGAGTGCAAGGTAACCTCTTTTATGTTAATCTGCCGCGCTCGAGTAACTACAGAAAATCCCCTCTTGGGCTCCCCTACTATAAGCCGCCTGTTTTTCATATAAGTTCCTATAATAACGAGGTTTTATATGCGAATATTTTACAAAATGCGGTATATACTCGTAGATCAATCATTAGTTATTTTAAGTGTTTTTTTTATAATAATTATTATTACAATTTTAGAATTTTTGAATTCTTATCCTGAAAATAGATAATACATGAAGTGTAAACTTATATTAATTTGTTCTCCTTTCGCAACCACATAAAACAAAATAGGTCGTCTATCCCCGACGTGCAAATAACATATGCTACTTTTTATCCCGGTGGATCAAGAGGTTCCTGTCAGATTTAATATTTTTTTCCCTTAAAAGTTATCTTAGATACAAACAGAAGCACAAAACTTTCATTATATTTTCTATCGAAAACTCATACAACACAGAAACCATTGTCACTTTACTTAGATATAATTTATAGTTTCGCACTTTACCTAACTAGGTAACTCGTGTGGTTTTGATTTAAAAAGGTTTCTAAATAGACCGCCTACTTAGGGACCTACTTACTGAATACTTATGTGGTCGTAGTAATAAAAATCACATTTTTTATTTAAAAAAATATTTTCGCTGTGACACAGTCTGCCACCGTTGAGAAATGGCCAAAAGGGGATGCGGCACGTAAACCGTGCAGCCAACCACACACTTTTAAAGGCACAAACAAGGAGGGTTGTCAACATTTACAAACCAAATTAAAGGTCGTTTTTTTTAATTAAGGACTTATGCCATAATATATTCCTACTTATGCTAAACCACATGACTATTATGTCATATATAATAATAAATAAACACATTTAACTATTTACTTATATTTTATTAGTATTATTAAATAACTTATAACACTTTAGGTATTTGACATATTTTTTGCCATGCTGATTCAATGATTACGTTAGCGAGAGAGAGGCAGTCCATTTGCGTCATAGCTCAAGTATCTACGTGGCATGAAGGCTTTTATAGTAGGTGTATGTTTTGGTGCAGTACGGTTATTAAGCTTTGTGCAGTAAAATGTTCGGTCATCCTCATCCTAACCCTCGTCGTATAACCTTTTGTTATAAAGAAAAAGTAAAATCTTTTCTATTAATTACTGTCAGATTAGTAATTAATTGTCGTATAAACCTGAATAATTTAATTGATCAATGTCTAACGTATAGCTATAATAGGTAGGACAGGATATAATTTGTTTTACGTAACAAAACTCCCTTTACTGTTACCTATTCACAAGAGCAATTTATTCTATACTAGACGTAAATAAATCATCTTCATATGCTATAAGCATATAGTAATCGTAAGAGAGGGAAGACTTGAGAAGGCATCCGCCCGTAATTCATTGAGTGGAGTGATGAGTCCTTCTCGAATTGCTTACATAACGGCCCACACGTCTGTACCTTATTGCTGAAAACGTTGCTTCCTTATTTTATTTTATATAGTCTCTTTGTCACCTTAAACCGTATAAAAGGCTCATTTGTGAATCTAATAAAAGTCAGAAGGGAGAATTAAGTATATATGGAAATGGTTATTTAAATTAACTATAAAAATTGAATTACTTTAGAAAGTTCATAGTATTTATTATTATATAAATAATAGTATTTATTCTAGCTATCACTATGTGTACCTATAAGATATGGGATTTACACGCACCTATTTTGTCGTTCATTGAATGCTTCCTTTGACCAGCATTGCATGATCCGAATACGTGACTCACCCATACTAATTTGTCTGCCCGTTATGTCCCAGAATTTTAATCCTTTATATAGATATTAAAAAATAGCCTTTTTCTTAATGTTCCTATATTATTATTAATTAATTATATATATTATTAAGTTTAAGGAAAAAGTTGTAATAGAACTGTATATTTATAGTTGGAGGGCTGGAGAGTGACATAGACTACTTTTTACCGCAGGAGATTATCTCATTCCCATGAGAAAACACGTTATGCTACAACCCAAAAAATATTTATGATCAGAATTACTTGAAACTTGGTATTAATGCTCTTCAGTACAATTAAATAAATACATGTTTTAGCATTTTTCGAAATTCATCCCATAAGGGGGTAAAATAAGGCATGAAAGTTAGTATGAAATCTACCTTTTTTTTGTAGTTATAGCGCGGGAGAAGCCGCGGGTTCTGCTAGTTAATTATAAAATAAATTATATCGTTGAAATTCTAATTAAATATCATTGTATTTTAATAGTTATTTTCATCTAAAAGAATATAAAAGAAAATCATTGTCATATACATAGGTACGAACGTAGTGTTATCCACGATACTCGCTTTTTATTACACACGGTGACATGCGAGTGAGTACCCCTATTAAATTTTATTTTCCACCCTCTAACGCTATTGGAAAGCGCATTTCAAATTAATACGCACGGTCGCATAAACGAGATGGATTTAACGCTTTATCTAATATGTAAACATATGCACCTATTTATTCAGCTTAAGGCCAATTGTAAATTAAATTTCAGTAATAAAATTAAAATAATATTGATTTTTTCTTTAAAATCAAGCCCTAAGTATATTAAAAAAACGAGGGGGATAAAAAACCAAAATTAATTTGAAAAATGTGTGTTATAAATCTCTCGCACTTGGTACACATGCATGTATTGTTGTAAGTATGTAAGTATAAAGATGTTTATCTAGCTCTACCAATGACTATATAATGACTTGTAAAAATTTACTGAAAAAAATATATACCTTCGAGAGTACCTAAGCAGTCAAATTGAATTGTGCCTCTGTAGAGATTGAGTATATAAGAAAGTAGGTACCATTTTAATATAACTACTACGCTTTCTTAACTTTTAAACATTACATATTGAAATCTAGAATTCACTCATCACTGTCAATCTTTGATTTGTAACATAGGTTTACATTACTATTAGCGACTTACGCTTTCTTCGCTCGGGAACGTTCCTCGGTGCGTTTGAAATATTTCATGTTGTTAGCCATGTACATTTTTCGGTGTTTTTTGCGATGTTAATAGTTATTCTGCTATTCAGGGCAGAGACAAATCCAACAAATCAAAGGTCATAAAAATCTGTTCAGCCGTTCTTGTGTTATAAATGGTGTAGAGTACTTAAACCGATTTTATTTTATATATATAAATATAGATTATGCTCGTTGTTAATAATTAATGAAAATTTTAAGTTTCTCATATCAATGCGCCGTAAAAAAGAAAGTAATTATAAAATAACACCAATATTCTTTTAAAACTTAGCTATCCCAATAATGTTTGTGACGTCGATATGCACATAACATATAACTCCTAGAATACGTATTGTATCGGTGTCTGTTTATTTACTGTTTTCTAAACAATGGCTAAGAAAACGAAGGCTATATAATCCCTAAGGGATGTAACCGTTTCGGGCAATTTGCCAATGTGCGTGGGCTTGAATGTCCTCTATTCCTATTAAGGACACACCAAGGTCGATTTGGGACGTAAAAATAAAATAACAAAGATTGTTTATTTATGAAATGTAGTGTTATACTTTCTATTAATTTATTACTGGTAAAGGCTCAAGTAACGTGCTCTGTCATATGGGAGAAATAATTTAAATCGTTTTAATTTGAATAATAATATTCTGATAATTATACATGATTATATAGGTACATTACATCATCATAAATAAAGTCTAAATGATATTCTGTATATTAAGTCATATTAATCCCATCCCATTTTACTTCTTACTAGTATATAAATGTAAAAGTTTGGATGGATGTTTGTTACTCAATCACGCCAGAACAGCTGAACGGATCTGGATGTTTGGCACAGAGATAGACTACAGCCTGGAATATCACATAGGTATATCTTTTTATCCCGGAAAAATGTACGGTTCTCGTGCGATAGATTTGTTTTTGTTTTTCACAGAGCAAAGGATGTACTATCTATTCCATAATAACCGTTTAAACTTACCTAGGGACGAATACGAGCGAAGCGAGGGTGAGTCGCTAGTAATTTATAAAGCAATTACCTATACTGTATTCTGAGACTTTTAATTATTTTTTAGACTCTATCATGACCTTTTGTTTTACTTTGCCTTTGTTGTTTAAACACATAAGTATCAATAATAAAGACATAAGTATTAATAAAAATATTTCATTCATAACAATAATAACAGGAACTAAAATTCACGGCCAAAATTAATTACCTGTAATATTGACCTACTAACAAAATAAACTAACTCGTTTCTTTGTTTCAGGGCTAGGCCAGTTATTGAGTTCACGCAAGACATAGAATCGCAATAAAAACTGTAAGCGTTGGTTCATTCACTCGAAGATCGCAGCGGCGTGTGGTACTCGATATGCGTCAACGCTTTGTGTCATGACTGTGACACAACAACGTTCGCCATCCACATTGCGCATCGGTCTGACGATAACCGACCTTCTCCATTCAATGTGCCAAGTTTCGATTTCAACAGAGTTCGCTACACCAGTAGAGTAGTGGACGTCCGAGCGTCGCACCACAGTACGAGACTACACACCTGTGGCAGAGAACACTCGGCAGTGATGCACCCTGTACAAAATAAAAGTGCACTGGCCTGCTAAATAAAAACTGATTCCAAATTCAAATCGACGTTTCTTTTGACAGATTGACGCTCATGTGTACTGTAAATTAATAATCATAAGTGCGTTAAGTTATAATATATTAGTGATTAAAGGAATTAAAAGTGATAAATAAATAGTGAACGATGACATCGCGTTCCAAGGAGAAAGTAGCGGCAGCTTTTCGGAAGCTGTTTCGCTCTCCAGAGAAACTTGATAAGGAGGGAGCCGGCCCGAGCGGGTCGCCAGCCAGACGAGGATTATTTCGCCGTCATAGGTAAATAACAGTTGTTATGATTCAGATTTTTTACACTAAAATGAAAGAAAACAGGAAAATATAAGTTAATAATTACAATAACAATAATAAATACTAGGAATCGTCGTACATTTAATTAACAAAGTAATAGTGAATAGGTATTTGAACTATTCCTAATGTTGCATACAAGCTATGTACATATTATACCTAAACATTTTATGTTAAAATGATTCGATTCTGACAATTTTGTATAATTTACAGAAGAAACTTATGAAACATATTTTCTTGGCAAAAAAAAGTTTTGATAAATATACAAGTTTTTTCGGCGTAATCTCTAATCTTTTAATGTGTTTGAAGCATTTGCTGACCATCTTGCTACTGTAAGCATATGGCAAGTGATCGAGAAATATGAACGATTATTACATGTGTGATACCATAATGCCATTCGACGATACACTCATAATGTTACATTCTTTGTATTTGTTTACTGCAAGTCGAAACTTACAAAACGCATTTCTATGCCAGATACTTTAAGTATTATTGCATTAATTAAATCAGTCAAAACATTAAAACACTAAACAGCCTTGAATGAATCCGATTACAAACCATAGTATGAATCCATACTAATATTATAAATATGAAAGTGTATTTGTTTGTTTGTCCTTCTTTCACGTCGAAACGGAAAGGCGTGATTTTTTTTGTGTCGAGATACTCGGAGGGTTGGAGAGCGACATAGGCTACTTTTTACCGCGGGAGATTACTTAATTCCCATGCAAAAAAACGTTATAATACAATCCAAAAAAATATTTTTGATTAGAATTACTTGAAACTTAGTATTAATGCTCTTCAATAAAATTAAATAAATACGTGTTTTAGCATTTTTCGAAATTCATACTATAATAAGGGGGTGAAATAGGGGATGTAAGTTTGTACGGAACTTCCTTTTTAGAGATTTTTTGTTATTTTAGCGCGAAGCCGCGGGTTCTGCTAGTAGTGTATAATCGTTAGAAAATATAGTTAATTAAAATTTATAAATAAAAATTTACGATCGTTATGTCCCAGTTGAGCATGCCTCCTCTACGCCGTAGTCGCGGATTCGATTTCTACACAGAGAGAATATAAATCAACTATGTATGTACGTACTTACATATGTTTTTCAATATATTGTCATCATCTCAGTATGATTAAAATAATATATAGTTACTCAACAAAGGGTACCTAAACGGAAAGCGAAGAATAAGTATTATATTTAATTCTCACCATGTTCTCAGCGTTTACTACACAAAAAGAAGTTAAAAATAAATACTGTGTGTATACTAAGGGATTAGGGATCCATACGAATATACTTTCTTTACATATTAGATGCAGGTAAACTAAAAATAAAACCATATATAAAATAGAGGTTGAGGCCTTTATCACAAGTCCGAGTCATGTTTAGCCGGCTTTCTTTATTTTTTTTTAAAAGCCGATACCACTTACAATCAAACTTGGCACGGGCAGAACATCGAATTCAGTATACCAAACAAATCAGCTGTGTTACAACCACGACCGGACCTGACTTATCAGAGTAGGTACATAGATGATTTAACGCGCAATCACATATATAATTTCAAACTATAGCTTGCGTACATTGATATACAAAAACTTAAAATGTTAATTGATATGTTTTTTGTAATATATATTACAAAATATAACGAGGATTATTTGCTTTGTTTTTTTACTTTACGTACCGATCGATAAAATTATACGACAAATTTTAATAGTCGCTTAATTATACAGATAAATAAAATTGAAGTGTCTGTTTGTAATGTCAAAATAAATGCTTTTTTACTAAATAGATACATATTATGAAAGTATATACGGCACTTATAATAAAAAACAAATTTAAAATTCTTTGTTTGTCTGTCTGTTTGTTCCGGCTAACCTCCGAAACGGCTGGACCGATTTGACTGGACTTTCACTGGCAGCTAGCTGATGTTATAAAGAGTAACTTAGGCTTCTTTTATTTAAGAAAAAGGATTAGGGTTCCACGCAAAAAATTAAAACTTATGAAATTGCGATCAAAACCCGCGTACCTAGGGGTAGGGACGCACCCGAGCGAAGCAAGGTAAGCTGTTAGTTCGCTATAACAACAGTATATTACACTCTCCTTCCATACTTTCCATTCTCGGTCGCCTAATAACATGCCTCTGTTCTTATTTAAATAGAGTCGCTTTTAAGTAAATAAATAACCTGTTTTTATTTATAACGAATACATAATTCATTACTGAATGTCATATTTGGAAGGAATAAATGGACTATTGAGTTTCATTTAAAGCTTAAATTAATTTTATAATATTAAATAGTGAAAATAAAAAATGACAATATTATCAAAATGCATTTTTTCATAGAAAATAATATGAATACAACAACGACTCTTCTCTACGAGTATGTAGCTTTTATTCTTCCTGACTACCGAAGGCGATTGTTTTTCATTCAGAAGACAAATAGTATGTATAAAGAATTTTAGTTAATACCATCAGAACTTATGATTTTTGGTTGTTATTCTTTGGTTTGACTTACGACGTCACTTTTTAATTAGAAATTGTGTATCTATAGGTAGGTAATATATAAATGCTTGCGTCTATATGTAATACAAACATATGTGGAATTTTTACGTTATTTACAAAATAGCACATAAACATGACATAGAATATCTTCTTCAGCCTTCAGGGAAAGGAATTTCCTCTATTAGATACTGGATATACCTACTAGATACTGGAAAGAAAGTATTTTGAGCTTATACACGAACGAATTTGGTACGGAGTGGATCAAGTTCGACGGACACGGAACAATAGTAAATATTATCGGCATACTACTTACTCTACACAGATACACCAACCAAATCTGGTGATTCAGGCCGTTCCAATTTCAATCGTGTGTAGGTACTTCTGCTTATGCAATGAGCAAAAGCAAGAAAAATATGATTTTAATGTTTTTTTTTTAATTTGTTTTTGTCAAGAGACACACACAAACACACACATTTACATTTGATGATTATGAATGATGATTGTTTACATACTTTATGTAGGTATACCGGTGCAGGTATATATGTATGTAACATACACATATGACCAGCTCCCTTTAGAGCTTCAGCTTAGGCCTTTACAAAAACTCCATCTGTCCACTCATTTATCCTATGTAGACATCTGCCTAGTAATATTCCTAGTAGATATAGTTACATATTTCGCTTTTGTAATACTACATAACTTAAATACAGAACAAGAGAAATGTAAAATAATAATCTATAATGCAATTACGTATATTGATTTTTAAAATTGAATAAGCAGGTACTTTCTACTCCCGTCCGTCGTGCCGATTGCACCCGATATTTCTTATATACGTTTTCTTATTTACTCATATTTCATTACGTTCTTAAACTATGCTGTCTATATTGTCAATAATTTTCTTTTCCTACGATGAGGGAATAATACAAAATGCTTTTATTAATATTACATAGATACTTAATGTTTGGAAAGACTCGCGTGGACGAGGCTTTTAGTTCTTCGACTAATTACGTTTTCATTTTTTTAAGCGGAACCCTAATTGTTTTTCTGAAATTAAAGTAGCCTAAGTTATTCCTTATAACATCAGCAATCTACCAGTGAATGTGCCTTTGAAATCAGTCAGATTACTTAGACAATTTAAAACATTTTATAACCCATCCGCATCACAAACGTGTACCGTCAACGCTTAGGTATAGGTATTTCTGAAATAAGAGCTCTACAAATTACGAGAAGTAAAACTGATGTCAAGGAAGTGCAAATCCGTGCCGAAGTCTCAATTTTAAAACAGTATGAGACAAAGAATTGTGAGGTATGTATGTGACGACAGCTCACACTGCGTCACACGAATGCGGAACAGAAAAACCAGGTTTGTTTATAAATTTTATGTCAAAGAAAATAGACCTTTCCTGAATACGTCATAACTAGTATTACTCAAAGTATTATATTATAATTCTACCTGCAGTGACTCTGGAAATTAGCATTGATAAATGTTAATGGTATATGAAAAATTTGAAAGTAATCTAAACATACTATAATAAAACTAGAGGTCGAATGTATTAGATTTTTTTTTGCTAAAAACCGAGTCAGGGGGATGTAAGAAGAGAAATAGAACAAATGTAGTGTTTTTCAATTTTTTTCTTTCTCTGTTTGTTTCTGTGTAATCTCCGAAACGAAATTTTGAAATTTTGCATTTTGGTACCTTATATCCCCGGTCAACATTTTAGATACTTTTCATCCCGGATAATTAAAAAGTTCCCGTGGGATAGTTACAAAACTATAGTAAATTATACAGCCTAGTACACAAAAACTACTAATTACATTTTATTGAAACTTTACATTAATATACCTAGTCCATTCATCAGAATAACAAATAGGATACTTTTTATCCCGGAAAAATGTAAGGTTCCCATGGGATAGATTAGTTTTCGTTAGCCTAGAGTCGAACCCGAGCGAAGCGAGGGTTAGCCGCTTGTCTCAAATAACCGAAATAAAATTATATTTTATGTAGATAATTCTTTACAGTTAAGTAGATTGGAATTAAGTTATCAAAACAAAAATTAAAATAATGTTTAATGTAGGATCGTTCATCGAAAATGCCGTAGAGAAAGCTGTCTGTCTCGTAATTTAAAGCGATACGCTATCCGTGTGGCTATTAACTGTGCGACACGCCGGCTGTCATGTAATTCTGATATTTACACTTGCTCATTCTATTATGTCTGCATTACTACGCTTACTATAATACTTTAAAAATAAATCATGTTACTACAAAGTTTATAGTTTCTAAACATAATTTTCGCGTTATGTGGCAGCGTGAGTAGGAGCACAATGTAAATATTAAAATTTAATTAAATTTGCTTAAGGCTAAGGCAAGACAAAAATTGAAGAAATACTAAAACAAATATGAAACCTTAATAAATTCTATAAAAATAATACCTCTCTATTATTATTTCTAGCATAAATATGTACAAATGTAAGTCAAAATTGATAGAATTAAATGTATCGTAATTTAAATTCAAAACAAATGAAAAAATTATATTCTCGTTTATTCTAAGTTCTAACTAACCCAATCTTTTATTTTTGTTAATAATATATACTATAAGTATAAAATGAAATTTTGTTTATGCCACACAATAATATACTGTAATCGAGGCCATTGACCGTCGATGCATATTCTGCAATCAGACCTTCAATAAAACGTTAGACTATTATTACAATGTGATCTTCCTAACGTCATAAAACATCTTGTTACTTCGAAAGGATTTAGAATTGTAACTCCATAAAAATCATAACTTAAATTAATTAATTCTTTAATTTAATACTTACAATTTTTTATTATTTTTATTTTGATATATTGTCAATTTTCATTATTACTGAAAATATTTAATCAAAGATTTTGAAACTTTCAGTTCTAGAGAAAGGTCAATAGCTATTTGAAATCGGTAGGTTATATACAATAGAGTCATAAGATATGTAAATGTTTTAGCCCCACTTGAAACCTAATGAATCAAATTCTTAGAACAATTTTAGATAACCAGAATTACAACTCGTTGAAATAGGTCAAATTAAGAAATGAATCACTTATGCTTTTCGATTTCTTACCTAAACTATAAACATAATATACGCTGGTACTTACATACTTTTTATTATTTTAGAATATATAATTGTATGTTAAATGGTTAGCATGTACGACTGTAGATCCTGTGGCCCCGGGTTCGAGTCCGTGCGGACCAAAAATAGTTGTTGACTCTTTCTGACCTCCCGAGGTTGTTAAAACCTCTAGAAAAGTCAATGTCATCCCATAAATATTATAAATGCGAAAGTTTCGATTGATGGATGTTTTTTACTCAATCACACCAGAACGGCTGAACGAATCTGGATGAAATTTGACACAGAGATAATTTATAGTCTGGAATAGCACATAGGTTACTTCTTATCCCGGAAAAATGTACGATTCCCATGGGATAGATTTGTTTTTGTTTTTCACAGAGCCAGGGATCGACTATCTATTTCATACTAACCGTTAAAACTTACCTAGAGACGAACACGAGCGAAGCGAGGATGAGTTGCTAGTAAATAATATAAATATATTTTTTCATAAATCTTACAGAGATGGCGTGAGTCCAGCAGAAGCGCCTGCAAGTTTGCCGGCGAGCCCAGCAGCTTCGTCACTTGCTAAGAAGAAGCCTGGAGGCGCAAACGATGTACGAGAAAGGGCGGCGGCGGTACGCACACGCAGACTCATGAAAGAGCTCAAAGAAATTCAACGATCACAGGACCATAGATCTAATCCTATTTTTACAGTAATTGTTTTTTTAATATATTTTGTTACTATGTAGGTGCGTGTTTGTATAATATCTTCCATGACAAACGGTGAACAAAATCTAAATTTGCACAAATATTCCTGTATATTTAAAAAATACTATAATAAGAAGAACTCCTTACATTTCTTAGGTTTTGATACTTAACACTAATTCATTTTAAGATTGTTAATATATCTGAAACATCCACACTTAAGTTTGTTAAACAACTAGAAAAGTATCTATATTTTTTTTTAATCTATTTCATACTTTACTAAATTATAAAATTGACTTGTTTTCTTCTTTAGGTAGAGCTAGTAAATGACAATTTGTTTGAGTGGCACGTGAGGCTGCACCAAATAGACCCGGAGAGCGACTTAGCGGCAGACCTGCGCGAGTTGAATATACCTAACATACTCCTGCACCTCATCTTCCCCGAAAACTTCCCTTTCGCGCCGCCTTTCATGCGTGTTATTGAACCGCGAATAGAGAAGGGATTCGTAATGGAAGGTAAATTAACTTTATACTCATTTTAAATAAAACTATCTTTTCGGATTATTTCGCGGATTTATTTTGATCTTTTACTTCCCGACGACGATTTACAAAAATGATTTCAAAAAAATTGTGGGTAGGCACGGTCTGTAATAAGTATGTGTTTGAGACGTATATAACCTTAGTGTCTCGTGACCATGAATGCTGTAAAGCATTCGAAACGTCGGGAACCAAAAAAAATCCGCGAAATTCTTCTAGATATAATTACTCAATAACTGTACTTTCCCGACCCGGGACTTGAACCCAGAACCTAATAAATGCTAGCCACTAGGTGAATAGACCAACAAAATGCAGTCACGTTACCTAATAGGGTCATAATCATTATAGTAATCTAACTACATTATTTGATGAACATTTTGTTAAAGGTGGTGCCATATGCATGGAACTACTGACGCCCCGCGGCTGGGCGTCTGCGTACACGGTAGAAGCGGTAGTGATGCAGTTCGCAGCATCAGTAGTGAAAGGTCAAGGGCGAGTGGCGCGCGTGCCGCCGCGGTCCTCGCGCGAGTTCTCGCGGAGACGTGCCGAGGAGGCTTTCCGCTCACTCGTCAAGACACACGATAAATATGGATGGGTCACACCAGCACTTTCCGATGGTTGAAATTAGGTACCTCACTAATTATCCTTAAATCTATACATATAATAAAATTGTAAATAAGTCGAATCTGTACATTAAATATTTTTTGGAAAATCTTATTGAAATTGACATTATTATCGATACAGAGTTCGAATCTATAGTATTTAGAATTTTTGTCTGTCTGTCTGTCTATTTTTCTGTCTGTCTGTTACCGCATCACGAGAAATTCACTGGACAGATTTTAATGAAATTTGATATGATGATAGCTGGTTATCCGGGTCAACATATAGGATACTTTTTACCGCGGGAAAATATCTCATTTCTGAGAAAAAATAGAAAAACTGCATTGTAACAGTATACTAATATGTAAAACCTAAGAATTTGGTTTTGGTTATCTGAACGCGGACGGAGCCGCGGGCATTGCTAGTATGAATATAAAAAGAAAGAAATAAATGATAGTTTATGATCACTTTAGATTAAGATGATAAGATAGACGCAACATACAGAACAGGGAATGACGCCAAATGTTACCGTCGTATTCAAAAAGAAAATTTATGTCAATCTAATATTTCTTATTTAAGTTTTAACAATTCCTAATACATTTCTGATGAGGTTTACTTTAAATATCGTCAGATTTCTTTTTTTTGCTTTTTACTTCTTATTGTATTAATTATAATACCACTTAAGGCTTCAATCGATTTCTTTTACACGCTCCGTTTATCTTATGATTTTACAAAATAAATCCTTGGATCTTATAAGAACATAGAACGCCCCTAATGAAAATAAATTAGATAAAAACATTACACATGTTATATATAACATGTTCCTTGATAAAGTTGCAAATTCAATATTACAGAAGAATTACATTAGCCTCATAATCTTATTCGTGAACATCATAAGATAGATTTTTAACCTAGATAACTAATTGTTCAGAAAGCAAGTAGGCATGACATATTGATTTATATTATAACTAGCGACTCACCCTTGCTTCACTCGGGTTCGTCCCTAGGTTGATTCCCCATACAAACTTTCATCCCCATTTTCACCCCCTTAAGGGATGATTTCCGGGATAAAAAGAAACCTATGTCCTTCACAGGATCTCAAACTATCTATACTTATTATAAAAATAAGTCCCCCGGCCGCGTCTTTCTGTCCTCCTGTCTGTCCTCCTGTCTGTCTGTACGCGATAAACTCGAAAACTACTGAACGGATTTTTATACGGTTTTCAACAATAGAAAGAGTAATTCTTGAGGAAGGTTTAGGTATATAATTTATTATGCTTTTATGTAAATTAGCTGAAATACGGCGACAAATGTTGAAGAGGTCGCAAAAAATCTCGCCAAATGGGAACTTTCCACGCGAACGCCGCGTAAACTAGCAAAGATACAGTTAAGTAATGTACTAGAGAATTCAAAATCTATAAAAATGCTACAAAAAAGTCCGCGATAGCATATCTCTATCTCTTACGGTTGACTTACAATAACCACTTTTATGTTAACATTTTTAATTAAAAACATTACGTTATTTTCAAAGTTATTTTCTTTAGTTCGGTATTAATCCTTATCCAAATGAATATTTTAGTTAGCTTAGTCATTTAATGCAGATTAAAATTGCTCTTTACACTAAATCAATCAGATGAATAGTTTTTGAGATATCGTTGTTAGAAGTAATTAGTAGCGAAACATTTTTAATGCTTGGCGAGCATTGAGATGCCTACGGCGAGTCCATCCCCTCTGCCCCGCATCGCTCGACCGCCTGCTCAAGCTATATAAACCGGGCGATGTAGCGCGCGATCCTAGGATACTTTTTACCGCGGGAAAATATCTTATTTCTGAGGAAAAATACAAAAACTGCAATGTAAGAGTATACTAATATGTAACACCTAAGAATTTAGTTTTTGGTCATCTGAACGCGGGCGGAGCCGCGGGCAATGCTAGTCTTCTTACTAATTTCATCTAAATCGGTTCAGTAGATCCAGAGATTACTTACCCCCTACAACGTCACAAACTTTACCTCTTTATAATATTAGTATAGATTTAAATATATCATAGATTTAAATCAATTTTACAGGTGTTGCTGATCAGCTAAATGCAGCATGGATCTCTCGTAGTTAATTAACTGTATTAATTGTAATTATTTAGTTATGTAAATGAGTCTGTGTAATTCGTAATTTTATTAATCTTTTCTCTAAGTACAGTAAAAATTAAATGTCTTTGCCATTATATTTTATGTACTTAGTTTAGAGAAGTATTCGCGGGTATGGAGGAGTCTACAATCAACGCAACAAAGCTAAAAAAATTATAAATTCTATTTTAATCTCTAATTATTGTAAATATTGTGTGCCAAAAATGCATTGTACTACAAGTATCAATGTCGTGCTTACTGTAAGATTTTTATCATCTCCTTCTTAAGCTTGCCGTTCCACTTTTCAGAATAAAGTTGAAGGCACCGTAGTAAGATTTTTTTTTCTATTTTTTCCACATGTCAAAATTTTTATTATATGTCCGTCCTAAAGTCATTTAGTCGTCTTTAATATAAAATTGTATAGATCAATTTAAAATTGTCTAATACAAAATTTATTCATGCCTAAAAAACTGTTCTTAATAAAAATAAATTCAGCACATATTTTTTTATGTTAATTATTAAACCCTTAAAATTACTCAAGTAATGCTCAAAAATACGGATAATCAAAAATTGTGGTAACCTGGTCACCTCTTAGTGTTTATAATTCTAGAAATTTATTAAGAAAAATCTAAATTGATGTTGTTGATTTTTAGTAAACCAAAGATGTTTATTTTTTATGTAAAGTGAAACAATTCAGTGCAAGTTATGAATAGCTGGATTATATATGTATATGAACAATGTTATGAGTGTAATAAATTACTTGCTCAATTATGTCTTTTATTTTAGATGTTACCTATTTGTTTTCATCTTCATAATTCCACCAATACTTTGTTTAGAAAATAAATACTAGATAGATTGAGTACACACGGTATTGTTTATGTTATGTTGCAGTATGATATAGTAGTAATACATTATACTGCATTGTACTGTGTACAAACAGCCATATACATCCTTTATAATAAGAAAAAATACACAATATCATGGAGACTCACTGGGCTTGTCAAGTAAACTAAATGAACTATTATACTCAGCCCTTATACTCTGATTGCTGTATAACTGTGACAATGAAGTGATAAAATTTTGCTAGGTGTTTAGCTTTGCTGTTTCTGCATTAATGTGATTATCAAATACTTACTGTTAATAACATTTGTGATTTATTGATCTCAGACTATATTACCTAATACCTATCAACATTAGTAGCACATATCTTATATCTTTAAACGAGCTATTCTTGTATATAAATATGTAATCTATATCTTTAAACGAGCTAATCTTGTATATAAATATATAATCTGAATCTCGGAAACGGCTCCAGCGATTTTGCTGAAGTTTGGTATGTGGGAGTTTTAGGGGGCGAAAAATCGATCTAGATTAGTCTTATGTCTAAGAAAACGCTTGTTTTCGAGTTTTCATGCGGTTTTCTTTCGCATTATTCCACACAAAATATCCTCAGTAATTTCGCACACTCTGGCATAAGCATCGTGGTCACGCAGCCAAGGCGCAAGATCGACAGTCATAGGTGTCCAGGTTCGAATCTCGGTCGGATACAAAGTTTTTACTTTTGTTTTTTTTGTTATTTTCAAGTTTTTAGTTTTTAAAAAAAATTGTACTTCAGGCCAAAAACTCCGAGCGTAACTCGGTAAGCTCGGCTCAGAAACAAAAATGTTGTAAAGTTTTTGTCAAATCTATACATATTATAGAACAAGTAACCCACCGAGTCTGTCTGTTTATCTGAACGCGATAAATATGAGATATGAGTGAATTCAAGATAATATAAAATCTGTTAAAATCCTTTTGAATAAGTATTGTTTTACAGCAAATGTAAAGGAAATGGGTCTAACAACCAAAAGACTTAGTAAATTAAACTGTTTTATGATTAAAAGTGTTATACATTATTTTAATCAGTTTAACTTTTTACAGGAAAAGAAAATTAAATTAAGTATAAAATTAAGATGATTGTCAAGAGATCACTTGCCCCCTCTCAAAGCCAGAACCAAATGCAGTACAGATCCTCCTTGAACTTTATAATCTTGGGCTGTTTTTTCATCATTCCTGAAATTAAAAAAAGGTAAAATTAATTTACTTTATAGATAATTGTTAAATTTACTAAGACATGTAGGTGCCAAAATTTTGTAGAAAAAATGTACTTAAAGTTACATTGTATTTATTTTATCTCTAATCAAATTAAAACTTATAAGGAATGAAACTAAAATATTCATAGCAAATACCACTTGGTCTTAACTTATTTATATATATCACATATACGTACATTTGTTTTCCAGAAAATATAAGTCTTTGTTGTTGTGGAGGAATGCCTTCTTTCTCTTCCACCCTCTCTTTAATGCGCTCCACTTTATCAGTGGGTTCTATGTCTATCTCGATCTCTTTACCTGTTAATGTCTGAAAATCGAGGTTATGCGTTTGTGACTTGTAACTCTCAAGAAAACCCCCATATACTTACTAAGTTCCACTCACCTTAACTTTTATCAACATTTTTAATTCTTTCTTTGTACTGATAATACACAAGAAAATTAAATATTATACAAATATATTTCAGAAAAAATATATGTATTTAGTTTTCTTCGTTTTCAGTTAAACTGCAGTTAAAATTTTGCCGCAACTGACATTGAAATAAAGATTTTGACTTCTGTCATCTGTGTAATTTTTGAGTTTTGACATTAAATGTCATGTGCAATAGCTGCGTTCGTATATTATTTTGAAGCCACAAACCTAAAGAATTGAATTAAATTATTTTCAATCTCTCACAATTATTACTGTCTATAGTAGCCTGTACCATTCTTGTGGATAATTTTGATGATTTTGAAAACGCTGAGTTTTAATATTATATAAAGGTGAAAAAATGAACGGAACGTAGAAAAACACCTTTAATATTGAGCATATCAAGGTTAATTGTAAGAAAACATTCTTTTATTTTTGAAAATAATAAAAGCTGCATTCAAATATTTTTTAAAAACCTTGCCTGAGCCAGTAATAATCGAACTAACTTAAAATACAAAAAAATCATCGTCACTTTTTTATCGAATTAGGTTGGGTACCTTGAATTGGGTATTCACGATTGGTTCTATCCTGTGTCCATTATGTTTATCGTTTGTATCATATTTAATGACTATCTCAACTTTTATTATTCATAGTACATTACTAATATAAAGTACATTACAAGACACAAGTGAGATCCTTAATCTGTGGATTGTGGAATTATGCTGATTGACTGCTGACATTTGACATAAACCTCAAAATATTAAATAAATAGTTTAATTAATTTGTTATTTTCCGAAATTCCGATTAATTTAGTTGGTTGTTCCTGGTCTGTGATTCCGATATAGTGAATAGTCCTTAAATATCATATAATTCAGTTTAATTGCACGCTTACAAATCAGTTATTACAAAGATATTACCATTTTTTAAACGTTTGAACATTTGACTATGTCTAATATTACGCCTATTTTTAAAGAAATCGAAGATTTAATTGAAAGTGGTTGGTAACTTTTTTTGTTAGCCTTGTTCTCTCGCACTAGCAGTTAAGATATTTTCATTTAACATTAATCGCCTCTATTTATTTTTCTAGGAAATGGCGATAAATGTATGTTAAACATTTTAATAGATACATTTAAATCTAAAGAATTGATAAAAAACGAAGAAGAACTTTCACGTAAATATAACACGTTAAAATCGTTTCTAGAAAATATCATCAATGAAATTGATAAACTAGCTAATGAAATTAGAAATCATGAAGTTCTTATAAGTGTGAAAAATCAAAAAACTTTACGGACTTGCTATCAGATTCTGACTTCATTTGGTATTTCTCCATGCTTAATACCTGGTCTAGGTATTAGCTTATCAAAAAGATGTGTAAGTGCACAGTTATTACCACAAATAGTGTTATCAGACGAACAAAAATATGAAATTTTGACAATTTGTACAGATTTTCTTTATAGAAGTTATGATGTACCTGTTCTTAAAAGCATTATCATTACTCTCCATTTATCTGATTATTTAGCTGCACTTATTCAATTAGCCTTTGCTCCACTAAAAAAACCTGGAGTCTATTCTAAATTTATTATGACTGAAGAATTGTATGAGAAATTAAATTATGATAGACAAAAATATGTCAATATTTATGAATATCTAGTTAATAATTGTTTCCAACCAATGTTAATGAAAGAACTGTTGGTTTTACAAAGTATTACTGACCCTTTACCACCACCATTTGCAAAAAGAGTTATAGCAAAGGAGATGAGCAGGAGGTTGACAATGCCAGGAGGATTGCTTAGTTTAATAAGATGTTTTATTGAAACTATTGACTTAGACACAGGTGTTGAATGGAAAAAGATTGATATGATTTGCAAAATAGTATGCATTAAACATGGGAATATGACAGAGAAAGACTACTTAAAGAATATCACTTCTCAATTGAAACAGATATTATTGTTGAATAATGCTCATTATCTTGCAACTGCTACTTCATGCTTGTTGAATTTATTAGAAAAGTTTGGTGGGAATGAATGTGTTATTGATTTAGCCAAAGAAGTATTAAAATCACTAGACTATGAAACTCTTTTAATTAAATGTGAATATCCTGGTACAATAATTTTGACTCCTCAAGAAGTAGATCATTATATAAACATTTTCCATGCCTGTACCAGTTTATTAAATACAGATATTCCACCAGACTATATATCTTCGAATTTATATGTACTTTTCCTCCTTAAGATTAAATGTACGAAAGATGAAACAAAATCCAAACTAAGCCATATAATTTTAAAAGGTCTTGAGGTATTGAGTCACATCCAATTAAAAAATATCATAGAAAAGTTCTTATTTGGATGGGAACACACCAAGCCGTTAGACCTTGTTATTGAAGAATATGATGCAGGATTAGCTATAAAGTGTAGTGGATCTCATATAGACCATCAACTAGATGCTGCTGCTGAACACTTTTTAGACATATTTGAAATAACAGCAAATAATGTACTAGTAGAAAATTTATTTGAATGCTGTCTACAGATATTTATAAACATAAATGACAAAAAGCAAAAAGCAAAGAAGGCAAATGTTTTGCAGATGACTCAACATGTTAAAGATGAATGTGAATTATTGACTGCAAATGATGAAAAGTATGCACAAATGTTACAAATTCTAGCCGTTATATCTTCTTCACAAAAAGTTTTAACTGCATTGAAAGCTAATCCTTGGATAGTACTCAATTTTTTGGAGAATCTTTTTTCTTCAAATAATGATAATTCAAATGATGAATGTAAAACAATTGCTTTAGTCTTACTAAATACAATATTGGCAAATATTCCTAAAACAAATGAATTGGAACAGAGGTTACATAAACTTCTGCCTATATTGAAGCAGATGTCGGAAGATAGCTCTGAATATGTCAGTATACTGTGTAAAGAAACAGTGTCTTTGATTTTATCAGAATTTCCAACAAAACAACAAAGTGCTTATGAAAAGGCCCATTCAGATGTATTTGATAATTTATTACCAGTGAGGGCTCATGGCATTATGGAACTAACGAAGCTTATAGATAAATCTGACCTAGAGACACTCTCTAAGAGACATTACATTTTCTGCTTATTACAGGTATGTTAAAATGAATAACAATTCAGATTTAAAATTCTTATGATAAAGCTAAAAATTTGAGATCTCTTTTGTATTACTTATTTGGCTAGAAAATCGATTGCCTTGTTGATCAAGTGGTTCTGGGTTCAAGTCCCGGGTCAGGCCAAGTATATTTATCGAATTTTTCTATCAAGGAATTCTCAGTTGCACCACAGAATTGAGAAGTTAGCGGTGTTTCATCCTCATACCTCCAGAAGCACGTAAAGATATCAGCCCTTCACTGTCTGGCTGATTTCTCGCCGGTCGTGTGGAATTATTCTCGCACCAATTATTCTCTGATTAAAGAAATAGAACACTTTCTACTTTCTTCCTTTGTGTTTGCACACATATTTGTGGCCTTTATTATCCTCTGAACATGACCGTTGTGTTTTCATAGACTAATCGAAATATAAATTTGTATGTGTGTATGTGCGTGTGTGTTTTTCTTTTTACGCTTACCTTACTGTCTTCACGCTAAAACGGATGGACGGATTTGGATGAAATTTAGTACACAAATATACTATGGGTGTATCCACCTGGGGATAGACAGAGGCAACTCTTAGGCACTCGTAGACACACCCAAGTGAAGCGAGGATAAATAACTATACTGTATTCGCTGAATGAACCAAGCACTGAGATTTTGCGCTTCTACGTAATTAATTGCAGATAAGACGCTTAGGCCGCGATTACCTACAATGCAAGTCATAATTAGTCCATCGTTGTATTCCGTACCGTTCAGACGTTTCTCGTGTAGTTACCAGTTTTATTATCAATGTAGGAGATGACAGTGATACGTTGGAAAGTGAAAATTAATAAATAATGTATACAAATAATTAAAAATTCAGTTATTAATACTTTAATGGTAATTTTATTTTATTACAAATTATTAAAAATTTCTCACTAAAACATTAGCAACATGAACGAGCCCTATGATTTCAAACCAGTTGCAAGTGTTAGTGGGCGGAGCTGGATAGTTTTCTGTCCTTATCAGTTTGTATGCTATAGTGGGACAGAGAAAGCGCGTTGTATTGTTCACTCCGTGAATAGAGTATAGTACTTTTAATAAGATATTCTCCTAATTATAATACTGCCTGTTTATGTGACAATTCAGATAAATTTGATAAAATGTGTGTATTTACAATTTATTTCATTCAAAGTAAAGATTAAAATAAAAGAACGGTGTGAGTTGCGATATAGAGGACTAGCGGCTCACCCTCGCTTTGCTTGGGTTCGCCGCTAAGAAAATAAAAACAAAACTCTCCTACGGGAACCGTACATTTTTCGGATAAAAAGTAGCCTATATGTTATTCTAGACTATAATCTATCTCTGTGCCAAATTTCATCCAGATCTGACGTGAAAGAATAACAAACATCCATACTCACAAACTTTAACATTTGTAATATTTATAAATACAGATGTATTTATTCCTTTTCTCTCATAATACATATAATAATTTTAAGAAAATATTTTAGGAACAGCTGAAAGACTCTGATTCCTACATATATTTATCTGCTGTCAATGGTCTAGCATCTTTAGCGACGCATTGCACGAATGAAGTGTTAAGTGCTCTGTGTAAAGAATATTTAGAAATTTCATTAGAAACGAGTATAGACACACAAGAAAATCATAAAAAAGTGGCAGAGTTGAGGATGAAACTGGGAGATATTATTGTTAAAGTTACAAGAAGATTAGGTAAGTTTGAACAATTGTCTCATATTATGTATAGGATAAAAAAGTTCTAAGAATTATCGATTTAAACTCTAATTCTATCATATAAGTTTGTATGTGTGCATGTGTGTTTGTTGCTCCTTTACGCCGAAACGGCTGGACGGTTTTCAATATGTAGTATGCAGTTAGACTATGGTTTGGAGTTACACAAAACTGGTCTTAGTGATAAAATTATTTGCCAAAAGGTGGCGCTGTCTATATATTATAGTATTATAAATAGCACTTGGCACCTTGGGACGCTACTGAGTGTAATGAGATAAGTCGCAGTAATATAAACATATACTTTTAAGTTATAACCGATGTAAGAGGTGATTTCATTAATCCCCCCCAACGTGCGTTCACCTTGTCGTGGTGGAGCGGCTCAGTAGTGCCCGACAATACAGCCGGGCGCGAAGCCAAGAAACGCACAGGGAGGTGGCCCATTTCGGTGGGAGGTGGCCCTCTTCGGAGGGCGGTGTACCATGTGGTTTGCTTCTGTTACTTCTCTGATAGCAGAGTGGACTTTGGAGCAACCCCATGGTTGTTGTGGTCTGCCTTGACAGACCTGCCGTCGGGGCGTCGTAGTTGAATGCATAAGCGATCCTGCGTCGCCCCATTAAGACGGGGGAATGTTTTGTTGGGTTTTAGTGGGTAGTACTGGCTTTGCCGGTGAGTCCCACACCTCGTGCGTAAATGCATTTCCCAACGTTAAAAAAAAGGCGTTTTCATTAATGGCAATTAAAGCCTTTTTCTCGACAGATTGTTGATTAAGTATTAAATTTTAGGAGAAATAGCTGTAGTTCACAAGACGATATTACTGAACACGATGCTGTGCGCATCCAGAGACAACGACCCACTAATACGAGCGTCAGCGTTATCCAACTTAGCAGAAATAGCATTAGTAATAAATTACAAAATTGGCACTATTATATATGAGGTAAGGTTTATCGCTCTATGATGTTTAGTGTTACTCTATAATATCTATACATATAACCATTTACTTTTTAAGTAATGACAAACGTACTTGATTTAAGACTTTTCTGCTTTCTGCCAATGTCAAGCGTTACTTAAAATAATTTCAATGTATATGAATAGATTTTTTTATATATTTTGTCCCTAAGAAATATGACACCGTAAAAGATACAACGTTATACATTAAGATTCGTCATGTAGATAGACTAGATTACAGATTGGGAAGAAAATTATCAAAATTGCAGTGTCCATAACATACCGCATTCTGTATCCACTATATTCTAAAATTATATAATATTCTTTTAGACTTACAATTATCTTATTTATAGGTACTACTTTGTATCTGGAATATTATAGAGACAGATAAAGCAATAGAGTGTCGTAGAGCCGCTGTAATGGTCATTGCCAGTTTACTAAAGGGCTTAGGTCAAGACACGTTGGTGGAACTAAAAGAAAACATTCTACCAATATATAGAACATTAAATAAGCTGTACAAAGATCCCAATGAAGATTCAATTTTAAAATTACATGCACAAATAGCTCTCGAAGAACTGGACGATATTGTGAAGAAAGTCCTCTGCCCTGAATTGCCGATGGAAAAAGAAATTTTAATGATAAACAACACAAAAGATATTATCTTCAAATAAAAATCTAAAATATTTTAATTCTTTTATTATAACTCACTTTGTGTCTTAAATCTAGTAGTATTTATGATATTTGTGCTATAACTTATGGCAATCAGTGTTCTAGCGATTGTCTTAATACTGGCCAGATGTGTCAATTACATCCGCTATATAATATTAAGATACTATGTATTTAAAATACTCAACCTAAATATTTACAAAAACACTATATTAATCACATATCGTGCAACTTACTAAGTACAGTCTTAAAGTTATATATTTAATTCACACAAATAAAATTTTATTTTTAAATTACGCCTCAGAAGTATCGTCACGTTCATTAGGCTTTTTAACTTCGTCCTTTTCGGAAAGGGTTATAGAATAAACAGAACTTCGATCAGAAAATCTATCGATATTTCGCCTGCTGAAGATGCCGCTTCGTGAAAGAGAAGAAATCGTGGAAGCATTGTCGTTGTTTTTGTCAGATTGCGGCACCATCTTCCAAATCAAAAGTGCTATCCCTCCAAAAGCAGCTACCACCAAGAACATTACGAGTGTAATCTCGCCGAACATACCTGAAAGTTTTACATAATACATTTGTTTATATAAATTTATATAATTAAATATAATAATTTAAGTAATTTTTTTAAATAAGAATGCCTAGATTTTAGTTGCCTCATACAATCCGATTTGCAGTAAGAACTTTTATAAGCAATTCAGTGTGACTATAGTATGGCTTTTATATATAATCATTTTTCACCTCCGTAGTGGTTGATTATTTATTAATTTACACGTACGTGATATACGTAGCAAGACTCGCAGCTTCGAGTACCATAAAACATGTATATATATCTCTGATGCAAAATACTATGTTCCTTCGTCAACTTGTTCTTATCTTTTTAGTTTGCTTTTTACGCAGTCGTGTGTGTTAATATTTTTTTTCGATGTGAAAAAATCTATAGGCAGGCTTGGATGGGGAGTAAATTCATGTAAGTCACACACACAGACATGGTTACGTGACGTGTTAGCGCTATCCCCCAGAATGCCGATAGATATCAATCAAAAGCAGATAAATGTAAACAGTTTAAGAATTTTAATTTAAGATCAAACCATTAATTTGAATATCCAAAAATAACAACTGTTTAACTTTTTAAATTATCGAATTTCATGAGTACGCAAGAATTACGGGCAGTCTGCTCATGATTACGACTGGTGCAACCCAGTCAACACAACAGAACAAGGTATATAGATAGCATAGTTATTTAATTCCGTCGGCAGTCCTCATGACTGTTTTTTTTAAATATAATATTTTTTTATTTACAGCTTTTTAGTTTTGGTCAGTTGGACATTTTTAGTTTTATTTAACAATTTCTTATCGTAAGCTCTTGTTAGTAAGCTGTATTATGGCTTACTCGATTGATTCGGACGAAAAAAAATTTCAATACAAATTGGCGACTTAGATCCGCCTTGTTGATTTTGATGTAAAAACCAAACGGAGTGATAATAATAATAATAGTTTTAAAACATACTTTTGAATAACTGTATCTATGGCATTTGACAAACTGCAGCTCAGATCCCCTAAATAAAATTCTCTATGCAAAAATATTCAGGGGCGTTCCCGTATATGACGTTACAACAATATCACATTTGAACTTATACTCACTTCGCTTGGATGCTTCCCTAGGTGCCTAACAGTAGTCTATGTGCTTCACCAGGTAATAACTTTATTACCTGTGTAATAAATTTTATCCAAATCCGTTCAGCTGGCATAGCAGTAGTTATCCTATAAAGCAACTAGCGGAACAAACAATAGGCCGTACAGACATTTTTAATATATAATGTTAAAAAACTTACTTTGGTGAGTTTCTTCTTTCCTAGCTTCAAGTCGCGCTGGTTTTAAACCATTGTCATTGAGTTCGTTCTCATCATATGGTTCAACTACACCATGGGGCTTGGCCTGCACCAGAACGTCCCCAGGGTTACTTTTGGGTAAATTAATACCAGCACGTACTGTCAACGTTTCTGGCTTGTAAGTACATAGAACTAGAAACCTGAAATAAATAAATAAATATAACAATGTCTAACTTTCACTTGGTATTGATAAGAAAGTTAAAATGCTTTAACAATTTTTATTCTTTTAAAACGTCCATATAAACTGTATCAATGCTAACTATTTAAGTGATATTTTTGAAAAGAAGACCTTGACATATAAACCGTCGATCTCATTGAAAGTGAAAATAATCATACGCTTTTTGCTTATATTTTTGACTCACCGCCGAGTGCTGTGAGTTAGAATCGGTAGATTTTCTTGAACGATCACATAAGTGGCTACCGTTGTATCGTTGACCTCAGAACCGCATTCGTCGTGATGTATGCGTAGTATGTAGGCGTCTTGAGCACTATTTGGGTTTCCTTGAAGGGAACATCTCTCTGGGCCTCCATCAGCTGCCTCCACGGCTATACGGCCTCCAAAATATGGCCCTGTTGATACCTCGACTTCACTTGCGTGAGGCAAACATTGTGTTGCACGTGCAGAAACTATTTCACAAAAAAAATAATTTATTATACTAATAACATTTATTACAATTATTAGTCAATCATATATATGATAACTTGAATACTTATAAAAAATATGTATATTGAATAATTTATACGAACGTGAACGAATCTACCAATACATTATTATTTAGAAATCAAATTTAAATTCTGCACATAAATTGAATTTTCCTTACGCACCTGCCTCTGCGTAATATTATCTGAGAGAAACTACTTTGCCCCACTTTTTATCCAATACCGGAATAAGCTAGATTTAACTAAGTATATCTTGTATTAGTAGGTTTTATTTAATGATGCAGATGAAAAAAATTGTCTCAGAAATGTTAATAATTACTAAATAAAAAGTAAGTTTTGAACTTAACATAGACTTACATCCTTTAGTGGGCACAATGATGATTTTGGAGCCAATAGAATGAGGATCTGCTAGATCCCTAGCATCCCTCTTTACGGGCCGAACTTCGAAAGAGTATGTAGTAGCCATGCGAAGACCAGATATATACGTGGTATATGTACGACCACGTTTTCCTACTGGTACTTTATTTGTTGTAGTTTCAACCATCATTCTACCAGACCTTTGATCCTCTTCGAAATTGTCAACGACCTGCGTGAAAAAATTGTTAGGTATCAAACAGGTGCAGAAGGTAATTTCCGAAACTACCCATTGGATTTAAAAAAAATCTTTCAGAAATATTCAGAATGGACCTTCATGGTGGACATCAACTACTTATAATATAATATACCCTTAAAACATAATAGCGACTTGCGTGCAATGTTATCTAAGATCGCTAGTATTTATATAAAACTCACCACGATAGGCAAGATATGATGTTACGAAATTGAAAACTTGCTTCCTTTTTAAAATCAGTTTGTTAAATATAAAAATAATAAATGAAATAAAGCAAATGTTTAGGCTTCACGGTCACGGCGTGGTGCGCGTAGACAGCTATTATCCCCCGTTTGATGTAGAGCTGAATGACAGTTAGCAAAGCAAGCCGGGGAGGCTGAGGCATTTATAGTTATCTACCATGAAATAGTTGAGCACTTAGCATGGGTAGTGACTTTTATTATTATCAAAGAATTAAGAATAAAACTGTATTATATATGTAGATAATATTATACGAGATAAAAAATAATAAGTTTTTATGCTCTTTAATATTTTGTCCTTAGTACTTTTCTTAACACTTAGGAAAATTACACGAAATGTAAAATACCTAATAGAAAAGTTTTATTAGATTTCAATGATTGTATTAGAAAATTATTCTATTTTACTCACTTTTGTCCTACATCTGTACTGTCCCCAAGCTTGCAACTCGCAGTAGTGGATTTGAAATGCGAGTAACAATTTCGGATTTTCATCGTCGTTTTTTCCGTACTCCCACCGCAGTCGCACATCGCGGAAATCTGGTTCCCCGATTAGGTGCAGTACTTCTGAGGATATACATATAACTTATTTATTGTTGTGAATTTACAGGTCAAACAAATAGCCCGCCTTTAGGTTTCGCATGACTTCTATTTGCAGGCTTTTATGCAACAAAGTAATGGCTCACATGACAAATATAAACCAAACGAAATTGTTTATTAAGTATTTCCTACAACTTTACTATATTAAGAGAAATAGAGCTTTGGTTTCTTTAGAACTCGACTGATTTGCTATTTCTTTTATAAATGTTCATAATAGTTTCAATAAGTTTTTGTAGAGGATTTTTGTTAAATTCAAACATTACAAGCTTTATTTTTACTTTCGATAGGACAACTATTGTCAGGCAAGGCAGTGGTAGCCCAGTGGTAACAGTGAGTAACAGTAAGTGAAAAATCTTGTTGTCTTGAACACCGTTAGACTATTAGTGCTTTTCGATTTTCTACGAGTACCTAAGTCAATTTCTGTAATTGTTTTCCTTAGCCCCGAGACGCATGGATGCACCGGTAATGCAGTGATCCGCGTGTACCATTAACCCAATGACTTGCTCACTGAGCTGTTCCCCATCAACCAAGTAATATGACCAATGTAATGAGATAGCCTACAATCTCATTTGTTAATCTAGGAATAATAATATTTAGCTTGCTATACCTAATTCTGTTTTTTTAAACAGAAAGTCGAAACATACATGTAGGTACATACAATTTTGAAATATCTATATAATACAAAAACCATTCTATCAATGTAAAATTTTCGTTCTACTTTTTAATTTTTCTATTCACATAATATTTCAACCTTGCGGAATTGCCTACTAACAGAGATCATAATGACGGTTTCGCTTTACGCTTTTGGCTAGCATCGATTAAGTGAGAGTTGGGTGGTTTTACCAAATATATAATCATTATACGAAATGTGTCTTAATTGATAAGGTCAGTAGAAAAGCTTAGGTGCAAATCAATCGAATTTTTAGCATAATAGGCAGCGTCAGGTCAGACAGACACCATACTATGACCTCGTAATTTTGCTTTGATTAAAATTACTAATTATCACATCGTTTTATCATTTAATGGGACTGAAAATTTTCTATTTCACCTTTTGCAAAAAATTGACAAAAAATATATATTCTTTATTGCACATTAAAAACAAAAATTACAAATATTAAGAGAAAATTGAAGGCAAGAATTATTATTAATAAAGTAGAAAGGTATATTATAAGGTGACCTATAGTCGCCATTTCCTTATAGCATTGAAATACTATTTTAATACAATAAAATTGGAGCAATTAGCACACCTATGCCCACAGGCGTCTTAATGTCTTATCTGTAAAGTATATAAATAATAAAAGCTTTCTTAATGAGAATATAGGTATCTATGTTGGACGATAGTGTAGTTTTACAACGTTTATTTTAAATCTCACAATAATTTTAATTCAAATATAAAATGACAAGTTATACAAATAAAACTTTTTAACCGACTTCAAAAACCAGTCCAAAATATCAATTCGGTTGTATATTTTTTTCGTGTAAGTTGTGTGTTGTTACTTAATATCTTCGCAACTAGTGAATCACATTTGTAAATAAATAGACTATAGGTATGTGGTACCTCAAGGTCTGAAGTAAATTAAAAAACAAATCTATTCACTGCTGGTAAAATAATTTCTTTTCATTGAATACAATATAGTGTAACCTTTTAGTGCAAAGGTAGGTAATTATTTATTTGTGTATGTATGTATATTCGTAAGTGCCTACCAAAAATGAAAAAAAAAGTTATTTTTTCTTGTCACGTCGTAACTTACATATATTATTCTATTTATATTCAAATATGAATCAAAATAAGTTTTAATGAAAATAAAAAAATGGCATTTTACCGAGACGGTTATTTATAGTTTTGTTCTAACCGGATGTGCCCTCGCTGTGCTCTGCGAGAGGAAGTACGGGAAAACAATGACGTGATTTATCATTTACCTACATCATGACAAACTAAAGCTTTGAATGATACAGTGAAATTTTCAACCTAATTATTTTGTTTTATATACATTACTTTACAATTGGCTAGAATCATCAGCTTTAATAACTATAATATATTTAACTAAGTAGAGTAATCTTTCTATTTTTTTTTCCGACGGTTGTAACTTGTACAATAATTGTGCTAATTTCTGTTCATAGAGTATGAAAATTTAAATATTTGTCTGACGCTCGAAGTGTTTAAGCCGGTATGTATGTATGTACTCGTAGGTACAATATATTTTTAAGTTCATATTTATTAATGATCTATCTATCTATACCCGTTTAATTTATTTAATTTTGTTTATTCCGTTGCCGTTATCTCTTATCTTTTTTATTATTATTATTAATTGTTATAAAATATATATAGGTAGTTGTTACCATTGTAATACAAAAAGTAGGTACTTAATTAACCAATTTTGTACATAATATGTATGTACTTATTTAGAGGACACAACAATAAAACGATGTGTGCCATAACCAACCTTCACTCATTTGGGTACACATTATACAAATACAAATTGGTTTTCGGTCAGTCGCGCATGGCGAGATCTCATGGATAATTATAATGACTAAAAAATAACGATCTTTTGTTATAAAAGGATAAACCAGCCAGGATTGTAAGGTAATAAACCAGCCTCATTGCGAAAAACCTTTTTGCCTACAACTTACAAGTAAATCTTACCACATGCAAACGAAACTCTATCACGGAAAATGTCGGTAGAGCCATTTTTCTCAACAAATATGGATAAACTATAAAGTTGCGCAACAAAATGTTTATTAATATATAGAACGATTTAGGTAATTATAAATGATATATATATCACATACTGTGTTCTATGTAGTATTTAAATACGAGTGTTTTATATAAAGCGATTGGTGCGGAACGTTTGTTTTCAAACAAAAGCTTTACTCGATGCTGTTTCCTGTCTATATGTGTATCTAATAATAAAATAATTTAACAAAGGTAATTTAACTCATATTTTTTGATACTTTACAAAAATACCGAATACATATTAGGAATATATCTCATTTAAACTTTAAATTTTACTTACACTTAGTTTTAAATAAATAAATGTTCAAGTAATATTACTTGAACATCTATACAAGTTTTGGGACAGTTTCCATTTCATTTTTTTTATAATAGAAAGCCTAATATAAAACACAAAATGTTATAGCCGCAGTCTCTACCTACTATTAATAGGTATTATTTAAAGCTAGTATAATGGATAACCTAGTATCGGCCATAACAATTAGGAGCATCTCGTGTAAAATCCAATAAAATTGAAATAGTGCATAAAATTTACCTCGATATATGTAAGGTACATCTTCATTTCAATTTTAACACTGACAAGACGGAGAAACGTTGTAAATCCAAATCTCATTGTTAAGTTGGCCGTGCGTGTATAATCACCGTTTTTGTTGCATTCAATTAAGAATTGACCCACTGTCGTAGTCGTGGACAGAACAAAGCCGCCTTATTGTAGTCTGTACGTCTCGATCACATCATGACAAACCCGATTATTTCTTTGGTGCCATTTTACTTACTACTAAAGAAATTTGGGACGCTCAAAATGGAATCACGGCTGGTTAAATTAATTTTAAGATAGCAATTACTTAACATAATTGGATTAAAGGGGTTCAATAGCTATATCTATGTCAAACAATTGATTTTCTTCTTTTAATCTACAAAAAATCATTATTAGAACCCATCTTTATTGTGTTTTAACACCAAATCAAATCGGTATTTTTTATTGTTTTAACATTTAGCATGACGTTAGATAATTTAATTAGCGGCCTTAGCAAAAAATACTTTCTACGATCGCTAACACTAATAGAAAACTAAAAATTGCATGGAACGACATATTTACCTAAGCGTTATGTCAAATAATCAATCATTAGGTACCATTTATTCTATTTGTGACATCAACGATGAAAAGTGAATTTGGCAAATGGGGCCTTTAAACAAAATAACAATACATAATTATCAAAATTTACCAATAGATACAAATTACTCTATCTATACGAGTACCAAAACACATGTGTTGTACTTTTTCCTATATATTACGTGGTTAGGCCATAGGGTGGTTAGGGTAGCTAGGGTATGTGAAAATATTAGGGAAAATATTTCTTAAATTTAAATACTGCTTAAATAAGTTGAATAAAAATAAGAAAAACTCTCCAATTTCATTAAAATTAATAGGTATCTATAATGTAATCTATCAATTTTTATTGAAGACAGGGTAACGGCTGTTTATTGCTTATAAAAATATAACAGTTCAGAATTGCGCAACTGGACACAAACGTATCAAAACGTCATGAATCATGATGCCATCATACCTTCACGACTTTCAACTAAAGCTAAATCCGCTATGTAACTATAAACTAACAAGTTGTTTCAGAAATAAAAAGGATATACGGAACAACTGTATAAAATAGAGCAATAAGTAAAGGTTTCAATTGCTTTCATTAATTTTAAAACCGTAGTATTTTATATATTTTAGTAGCTCTAAGGAGCTTCTTGCTTATGTTTTTTTATTTGACACTGGAAAATATTGTTTTCCGATCTAGTAACTCTAAAACCTTCTTTAACACTTTTAGGGATCAAATAACCAATAAGAAATTTCTTTTTAGCAGATGTCTATAATTCAGACGTTCATGGCCTATGTTTGGTCTGAGCGACATACATTTCGAATTAATAACGGCTTATAGAGCTTAAATTGAGGTTTTTAGCTAACAACCATAAAAATAATCATGACTAAGAATTCTTCGATAAATTTTTTAAAAGAACCTTAACGTGGGTAGGCATTAATAGAAAATAGCAAATACAAAAAAGGTTACTGAGCCGTTACGAATCGTGTCTCAATATGCTAAACGACGATTTTAATCAAAGTTTACGCCAAAGCTTGAATTTAGAAAAGACAAAAGGTAAGTTATTTTAAATGGTTATGACCTAAACAAGTATAAAGAGGGTCCGGTCAGCGACCCGCATATGATCAGGACTTTTG